TGTTTTTTACTCTACTATCTATTTATATAAGGAAAAATGTTTATGAAAGTGTCATCTGTACAGTGTCTTAGTGACAATCTTGAGGGAATCCTTTGATAATTTCTAAAGGTACGAAGTAATGATAGTGGTGTCTGAACAAATGGACACAGAACTGCATTATGAAACAGCAGTACCATGTAAGCCTATCCGAAAGCAAGACTTATGGAATACTATGGGAAATACTTCCAAAGTAGTATTCCTGGATTTGAACTCTCCATGGCTATTCCACAAATACTAAAAATGTTTTAAAGAAAATTATATTACTATATCATCCCATAAATTTATTTTTTTAATAAGGACTCAACTGAACACTAGGGTTTAGTTTTGTAGAGTAATAGGTCCCAGTATCCAATTTTAGATTGGATGCAGTTTCATGTATGTCTGGCTCTCAGTATCCTGTCTTAGGACAAAAGTATCAGATTAGATATTGTAGAATCAATTTTAACTTAACTCTTATTTTTAATAGTATCACAGAGGTTAATCATCATAAAGACTCCTCCTCCTCCTAAGAGGAAGGAATTTTTTGCCAACTCATGAAGGCAAATATGTGTGTCCAAAGGGAAGAAAAGTTGTTTCAGCGTTGACAAAACAATCTCCAACCCCACCCCTAGGACTTTTACCTTTGCTCCTAAGTGAAATGCTAGATTTAACTTGTTTAATTTCCTTTAAAAAAAAAGTACTGTAGCATATCGCTTTAGGGCAAAGGTAAATCTACTTCAGGTGGAGATTGTTTGTTCAATCTTTGTGGCAGTGAAATATTGTCTGCTCTATTACTTTATTGCATTAAAAACATCAATTTGGTCTTAAACACAAATACACCTATAATTGCCTAAGTTATTTTATAATCCATATAACCTAAAAGGGAATATGATAAAATATATCTAGTTTCATAGTTGGAACAGGAGAAAAAAAACAGCAAAAGCTGGAGGGAAATTAAACAGAACATAAATACAATGCACATTATCTATAATTAATCACAATTACTTAATTTTATAACACATTAAAGGCCAAGCTGAAGCTTTTGTCGAGTTCAGCACATGAAAACGTGGCACACCCAAAATGCCGAATCTTAAAATGCCAGGAAACCTCGTTTTCTTAAAGAAGAAATTGTATGTAAAGAAACCAAGATAAATGGTAGTCAGGACCCCGGGTATTAATGCTACTCTAGTGGGTTTTTGCTGTCGCCCTTGCTGATGTCTCCTGATAGTCACATGGCCTCTGGAAGGCTGTTGATAAAAGTAGCCGGGGTCTGTGGGGAATCACACCGCCTTTCTGGTTCCTGTGATAACCCTTCGCTCTCCCCACCTTCTTCCCCCGATGTCTCCAGAGCCTCGTATTTTATATTATGCAAAACCTTTTATGGCTGCTTATCAGAACAAAAGGAGGCGAATCGGACGGCATTGGGGTTAACTTTATTAAGGTTTTCCACAGCAGGCGGGGCTGCGTGCGGCGGCCGGGCGAGACTCCGGGGCCGGCACGAAGCGAGGGTACAGTATACCTTTATGAGGCGCAGAATATCCGCGCAGTCCTCGGGCCGCGCGGTTCGGATATCGAAGGAGGCCATTTTCGGCGGCGTTTTCCCTTGCGTCCCCCACCTCTCGCGAGTCCCCGATAGTTGAAGAGCAAGAGAAGAAGTTTCTTCATTCGCGTCCCGGGTGCGGCGTTGGCGGCACAGGCACAGTCAGGCAGTCAGCATTCCCTTGGGCACCGAGAACAAAACAAAGCCCGAAGAAAGAGCGCTCGTAGCACTTTCTGCCTAGATCGCTTCCTCTATATTTATAGTCTAGCACAGCCCTCTCGGCCAATCAGAAACGCCACTTGACACGTCGTTCCTCCCTTTCATCCTCCTACTGATTACCTCATCTTTTTAGGAAATGATGCGGTGTCTAAACAGTGACTCAGGCAGGATTTGGGCTGGGCTGAGAGCACCATCTCATGGAGTAGCTCATTTTTCGTACGGAGATCTTTAAGCGTGGGAACGGGCATCTACGATACCTAGATGCTTTGGAGTTCAGTTCTGATCAGTTCCAAGCAGTTTGGAAATGTGGATTAGTCCAAAACATCTGGAGGGAAACCAGGCTGCTTATCTTTACCGTAAACCATTCTACTGTAATCCTCTTTCAAACAATCTCTTTCAATTCTGTAGCAGATGTCCTTTCAAAAGGTCCCCATATTTAGGACAACTGCAAGCAGTTTTTACTTTGCAGCATCAGAATGGGGCATGGATCAGGGAAATAACCAAAACTGATGCTCAGTGCAGAGGCTGCCACAGCAGCTTGTAATGTATTATAGAAGAGGTTTGCAAATTAACTTCCCACTCCATATGCCAATTCCTCAATCAAACAAAAACTCCTGTTAGCACTGCTCCGAAGCAGAAATACCATAAGGAGGAATTTCCGGAAAAACTGCCTTCCATCATGGGTTTCTGAGAGGCCATATTTGAATCAGGAAGAAGGTATATATAATAACTTTAAAAAACAATATAAAGAGTTGCTCAACAGTGAGATAGGTGGCAAATAACTTGAATAAATAAAGTAACTACCTTTATGTGCAGCAGTAATAAAGGTGGGCAGTGTTGTGTTCTTTCACAATTTAGTTTGAAGGTAGTTATTGGTACATTTTCTGCCACCCTTTCTCTTTCCATCCAGCATCATCAGTCCAATCGGGTTACAGCCTTAATTATAATTAAATTATCTATCCTTAATTTGTATTGACTGTGCTGACAGGACTGACAGTTGATACCCTTACACAACAATTTTACATAAACTCCCATATTTTCAGATATGGTAGCACCTATTAAATACTTTAATACAACTGTTGATTCCCTTGGACAGCAAAAGTCCTGTCAGATGTAGATCACTATTCTATACCTACCACATTTGCTGCTGTTACCTGATTTCTTTCCAAGTATTTGGACTCACCTGAGGGTCAGTTAAGGCCATTGTTGCCATTAGCTCCTCTCAGTTTCTTTTTGGACTTTCTCATTACTCTTGCTATAACAACTTTCACTCATAGTCCCTATTAATGCAGAACCAATTTGAACTTCTAGCCTTTCTAATTCTCCCCAAGGCTCTGGTAGAGGTTTTTCTCTTTGGCCAATGCTTGACCATTTGACAGAACTTGAATTTCTTCTTGGCTTGCTCACTACTGGACATGTGGTAAGTGTAGGTCTCTCCTGTTGGTGCCTTTTTAGTCAGTGTTGTGGATTACCCTCAAATGTGTCTCAGTTCATTCTTGAATCTTTTTGAGACTTTCTTTCTCTGATCTTCCAGCAGCTTCCACAAGTTTGGGATTGAAACAAAGAACCTGCCTCCTGCTCCTCCAATCTCTTCTATCCTTCTGTGCAGGATTCCTGGCTAACAGATGTATTGGGATTTGGATGAAGATAAAAAAGACTAATTATCTATGCTCTCACAACCAAAACCAAAATGTTTTGGTTGATTAAAAAAAAAGCAGCTTCTGTACTTGTGGGAAAACACTAGGAAGAAACATCCAGCTGGGTTGTTTTGTTTTATGAGTCCTGTAGTACGGTATCAGGCCTTTCTAGTCTAGCATTGTGGCATTGAATGCACTGTGAAACTCACAAACCTTGATTGGAAAAGGATACCCTCCATCCCAGTTATACTTAAGGTATATTGTCTATGACAGAATTTTTCAAACAATGCTCCATAGAATGCATGGTTCCATGAGAACTTGATGAATTTCTGTGAGGGACTAATGACACATACCCACAAAAAAAATCACATAAACACAGCCAACATGGGTCCTGAGATTTTTTTTGTTCTTAAGCTAACAGAATCTGAAAACGTTGGAAAGCCCCTAGATTATGATTCAGGAAATGGCAGTCAGAAAGCCAAAAGGGTAAAGTTGGGACATATTTAATCTCTTTGATTGTTAGAAGTTATGCATGACTAAGTGTTGTTCATGAGTAATAAGATATTTTGTTTTAATCCAATTATATCTCCAATAGAATGTAGCCTGCAAAACAAATTAACAATGCAGTAGCGAAACCTATTTTCACATTGATCCTTCTTCCAAATGAACATGATGATCAATACATAATTGTGAAAAATGAGTTTATTTTAACATTTTTTTTTAAAACAAGGCCAGTTTTGTGGACAAATTTATAAGATGAGAGCAATCAGTGATTTGTGGGCTGCAACCCCGTCATATCCTTTTTGTACCCTCCTCCCAAATCTCCCCCAAGTAAACAAGGCCAGTTTTCCTTACTTATGTTCTTTTTGAGGTATTGAAGGTAAAAATAGATGCCTTAAATCTCATAAAAGTTGTGAGAATTCTTAGAGACACTTTGTAATGACCACCCCCTCTCACCCCAAAGACTTGACCTTTTGCCAGGCTTAAGACATTTCATCCCCTAAAATATTTGTCCCACTTTCCCATGACATCATGCCAGTATCAGCCTCTGCCCTCCCCCTGTGTTTGGTTCTTTTTTCCCCATTTAAAACCTTTTGTCCATCACTGAGTTTCACACAGCAATTTATTACATCTACTTAATTTGGCTGTCTGACACTTTCTTCCCATTAAATGGGTTAGGGTAAACTAGTTGGTTGATGATTGGCAGTTATTTCTGAGAATCTATGTTACCCACACAGTAATTATAATTACATCAAAGATACTATGCCCCTTGATTATGTGTGCAGCAGACAGATGCTTTTTGGATATGAGATTTTAAGACTAGTGGTCTGCAAAAAGGAAACCGAGCCCAGTAATCAGAGACGACCATTCCTCCCCATAATGGCTTGTGCAGCTGAAGCACGACTGATGAAAAAGAGCTGTCCCCCCCCCCGCAGTGATTCCCCTATTTGATCAAAGATCACTAGGCAGTTGATCAATGAAATCAAGAGCTGGACTTCTAAATTCAAGTAAGAACCGAGCGCAGCTTCGTTGTAGGAAAGGGGCGCGGCAATATATCTGGTAGGAGGGAAGACCACGAAGCCTTCCTGAAGAATGGGAAAGTCTGAGCCAGTCTAGCCAGCACAGCCAAGTTCCTGTTCCAGGCGTGGTTGTTGACAGACGGCACCCGCGACTTAACAGTACGGCTCTAGCAGAGAGGGGCCAAAGCGGCGGTTTTTAGGTCTCGGCGCCAGGCGTTTTAGCGATCTCTGGAACAAAATGCTGTCGCGCAGGTGAGTGATTTATAGCAACTTCAGCACTTTCCCTGATCCTGTCTTTGCAACAAGCTAGGTGGGCCCTGAGCGAAAAAAAAAGAGTAACGAGTCGGGAGCGGAACACGCTTCGGTTGGTTTAGGCGGGTACTGTAGGGGATTTAAGGCGGCGGTTTTCTTTGTACAATCGCCTCGCAAAACGAATCGTTTCCTAAGGGCAAAGCCCGCCCTCTGTCTGTTCCGTGGGCCTAGAGCCCTTCGACTTGCGCAGTGTGACGAAAAAACACTTGGGTGGAGAAAAGCCACCGCCTGGATCTAGAACGTCGCTGTTTTGGATCTGCGCTTTCTTTTCGCCCACCGATAAGCGTAGCACAGTAGGATTCACTGCCTTCTGGAGAGTTAGATTTATTGCAGCCCCGTCCGCAAACGAGGATCGTACTCTGCAATGTCGCTTCCCCCAATCTTGCTTCCTTGAGTTGTACTTGTAGGAAGCTTTACGGTCTTTGTGAAAATCCGATATAATTCCGTAAACTATGGTTTACAACCCACCGTGGCTAAGGCAATACCAAACAGCCACATAAAGACTTAGCGTATTGGGTGAATCAGGGTTTATGTTAAACTCCAGTGCAGTTGGTTTATTTTGGATTAGCACAGGTTGTTACTTAAGGTTTTAGTGTGTTCTGGGATATTTAGAAACATTTTTCCATATTTGGAAATGAAAGTTGTAAATTTTCCTTTGCTTACCATACTGCTTTCGTTGTACATTGGGACATGATCAAAGAAGTAGAGCTGCAAGGCCGTGGGTGGCAGAAAATAGGAACGATGTATTTCAGACAAGTTACAGGTCTTTTGTAGTTTAATTTCACACCCTATATCCCGGTGCCCCACTTTGACTACATAAAGATAGCCTTAGTCAGATCCCAACCCAATATGGAACCCTCCTGAAACCTCAGACAAGAGTCCTACTGTAGACAACTGAGTGTATTAATATTTGCTAGGTTGCATCCTCTTTTAAGGGGATCAAGTGACCAGCCTCTGGATGTTGACATAAATGTCAGATGTATTTAGAAGACTGACCATGCCCCAATGCTTTTGGTCACTGCTCCCCACCACAGTTATTTTTCTTCTGATTATTGCCCTTCTCAGTTAGGATTATGCTTTCATTCTGTTTAATTTTTATCTATGGGGTTGATCGACCATTTCACGGGGGTCGCCAAGCAAGGCTGTCTGCCATTTTTTCCCCCTTTTCCGGCGGGTGCCTTATCTCCCTTGAGCTGGGCCAGCTGGTGGTCGGCCTGCTCCGTCTCTGCCGCTTGCCAGCTACGCCTCGGCCGGCGCAGGGGGCGGAACCACGCATGTGCGGCGCTCCCGGGCAGGGAAAGTCCTCGACTTACGACCGGTTGGGTAGTCCTCGACTTACGACCGGTTTAGTGCTCGACTTACGACCGGTTTAGTCCTCAACTTACGACCGGTTGGGGGTCGCGGCATTAAAAAGGTTGAGAACCACTGATATAAAGGAAAAGGAGAGAAGAATAGAAGGAGAAATGGACTTGTTTAAAGACCGACATGGGATCAGGGTAAATAAAGCAGCTCTAGTTTTACTTGTTACAGAATCCTGATTTTTACATATTTTTCTCAAGCTACGAGGCTGATAGAATAGATGGATGACAACACTGGAGAGAAAGAGAGGCAAATGGAGGAGCATATAAGCATACTGACTAGTGAGGACAATAATGTTTGGCACAAAGCCACCATAGATATTACAGGACCAGGATGGAAGAAATAATTTGGACAAATTTGGAACGGCAATATTTTTGGCCAGCTCAAGGAAGATAGGCTAAGATTTAATCCAATAGTGGGAAATAGCTACAAAATGGCATATGGCTAGTAGAAATAAATAGTCAAAGCTTATACCCTTATTCAGCTATGTTGATTGCTTTGGGCTAACAATCTTAAATACTGGAATGAAGTTTGATGTCAGATGAAATCTCAGAACAGGCTTATTTATAATCATTCTGGAAAGAGTAATGCACAAGTTCCTAGGAATACTCTGGAAAAAGCCTCTTTGTGCAAAGATTCTTGTAAATTCCAAGCATGTGTCATATGAAGCTAGGGAGACACAGCCCTGTGCAATATGCTGTCTCATTTCATTTCTTTCTCCATTTGCAAATGAAAAATGATTTTGATATGTTCAATAATTATTCTTGCCTGGATAGCTTTTGAAATATTTTCCCCCTCAATCATTGGAAAGCAAATTCTTTGTGCATATGATTATATGTGGATGTAGATTAAATAGATTATGGGATTCTGCATAAGTGTGAGGATGATCACCCTTTTGAAACTGTTATGCCATTGTATAGGATGTGTTTATTTATTGATATCTCATTATTTTTATAAATAACTCAAGGCAGCAAGCAGACACAATTTGTATCTGTTTTATGGCAACTTATTTTGCATATTGCCAGTTTAAGGTATTCCAGGGGTGACTGTGGATAAGAATTTTGGGGCTGTAACCCTAACATATCTGGAGGACATTAAAATAGAGGAAGATAGTTCCATTCAATATATTGACCTTGAATCTAGGATTAAGGAGTCCAATGCTACGCTGTATTATTGACAATTCTCTATTTTCTTTTGATACAGATGGTTTTCATTAAGCAAGGCCCATCCTATCCTGTTTAGGATGCTGACATCATCCAGCAGTGGCTCCCAGGTTATTCAGAACATGGAAGAAGGTAATGTAACTACTGTAATAGTAAATTCAGAAATCTATAATTGTCTGTGTTGTTCCTTTTCCTCAGGAATAAAACTATCAATATATTGGGTTTAGTGATTTGTCTATCTATTTTTTAGAAGATGTAGAATTAATTAGAAGAGTAAAATAATCAGGATTCTTTTTTAGTTTTCTGTTAGTGACAAAGCTTTTTATACCAAATATATTTGGCCAGATCTTACTGGGTAATTAAAAACTTTTTTTTCCCAACAGAGATTTAGTTGAAACAAATAAATAAATATGGGAATATGAAACCGAAGGAAAAAAAAACTCATCCACTTTGATCTTCTGCCATGCTGTATTTCGCTGGAAAATTAATTAATTTTAACTTTTGGGCAGAAGTAGGTTATCAATACTGCAGAATATATTAATATGTACTTGAGCATACCATCTTGTGTGATTGACTTGAAAAATAATACAGTTATTTTTCTTTCCCCCTTTTTTAAAAAGTTTCCCTGATAGTCTAATTGTTTTTTCTTTCACAGGACATTTCCCCATTCATGTGAAAAATGGTGTGTTGTGGTAACCTGTATGCTTTTTAATATGACTGTCTGCTCTGTTATGCTTCTTCTGCCTTTATTGGAGGTTTAATGAAAAACTTAAGTTTATATTTTGTGGCAATTCTGACATTCCTCTTAATGGTACTAAATGGGTTTATATTATTAAGCAAATGAAATCTGTCTTACTAACCAAAATGCAAATTATATACGTGTGCTGTTTTTCATAATTAACCTATAGCTAGTTAATCATCTGTAATTTTATATCCTCTTGCCTTCTTGGCCTATGCTTGCAATTTATTTATTTATTACTTTTATATTTCTATTTCTATCTCTGAGCACTCCAAAAGCTATGTCCTCTTTACTTTCTTCTGGGCTAAAAAAGGCGGCTGTCCCAAAATATATTTAGATGGGAACTTGAACTCTAAATCTTAGTACCCTGGTTTGTCATCCATCCGAAATCCTTAGGCACTTATCTGCTTTCTGCCAGTGGAATACATTATTTTCTTTGCTGACCAATCTAAGCAAATGGCAGGTATGAAATGTTCGGAAATAAATGTCAGGTCCAACAGTATATTATTTCATCCATCCATCTTATTTGTACTTTCTTTAGAGGATTTATTCCACTTCTTACCTTGGTCTTATTTTTTTTTTCTTCCTCAGGACATTTTGTATCTCACTCATGTTTTTGGCCAAAGCAAAGCAGCCAAGGGTGCTTCCAAAAAAAGAGTCTTATCCTCTACTTGCCCTTCTTTATCAGTGTTAACGGGGAGATCAGATAATTTCATTTTCCATTTGAAATATTCTTGTATTTCTCCACAGTAAAAATATTAAAGCTTTGCAATGCTTCATATTGAAAGGAAAATAGGTGCTTCTCGTACATATACATGTAGCATCTATCACAAATACTTTAAACAGAGTGCTTTTCTTCTTGCATAGACCTTGGAAAGATGCAGCTGCTTTAAGTAGCTGCCCACAATTGCTACATGGGTGTTTACAATCCCTACTATTGCTCGCTCCCACAGTCTCAGTGGGAGGGTATCTGGTTGCTCCCCCCACTATTTTTCAATAGAGAAAACTCTTTTTGTATTTTTACTTGGAAAAGATCAGTGAAACACATTTTTAGCATTCTGTAAGGAACAGAGTGGCTGGGATGTATGATAGGTTACAGTCCTTTTCAGAAACAGACTGTAGATTTCAGAATAGTGTAGAAGTTTATTATGCATTTATTTTCAATCATACTTATTTTACATACTTTTTACATTTGCTATTTTTTATGATTTATTTTATACCTATCTTATTTGCTCAGTGCTGAATGACCATTTTTCATATTTATAACCATTGAAGCATCCCCATAGTCCCCATGTTTCTACTTTGAAGGTGCTTCTGACACGAATGAAGAATTATGCAGTTAATGTTAAGGAGTTAATTGAGACTTAAAGACAGTAGAATAAAGGAAAAGAAAATCTGACAGAACTTTTGGGTTTAACCCAGTTATCTTCTAGGTGTGATGTTTGTGTGTGCATGTATGCACGTGCACACACAGACACACAATGCAGGTAGAATGAAATAGGACTCAAGGTACAAAGAAACAATTTGGATCAATCTACAGGTAGCCCTCGCTTATGACCACAACTGAGCCCAACATTTCTGTTGCTAAGCAAGACATTTGTTAAGTGAGTTTCTCCCCATTTTATGACCTTTCTTGCCGCGCTTGTTAAGTGAATCACTGCAGTTGTTAAGTTAATGATTGTTAAGTGAATCTGGCTTCTCCATTGACTTTGCTTGTCAGAAAGTTGCAAAAGGAGATCACATGATCCCAGGACACTGCAACCGTCATAAATATGAGTCAGCTGCCAAGTATCCAAATTTTGATTTCATGACTATGGGGATGCTGCAATGGTCATAAATGTGAAAAATGGTCATAAGTCACTTATTTCAATACTGTTGAACTTCAAATGGTCACTAACTGAACTGTTGTAAGTCAAGGACTATCTGTATCTCTCATATATATATATATATATATATATATATATATATATATATATATATGTAGGTCTTTAGTCATTCGGGTTCTCTCCCGCGTAGAATTAGAAGTGTCTTGGCGACGTTTCGACGAAGTCACATTCATCATCTTCAGGCTGGTGTCTTCAGCTTCATGCTTCTGGGAGTAGTGTGTGTGATCGCAGCTGTTTCTTCCTTTTAACTGCCAGTGGGGTTTGAGCTGATTGGGTGGGAGCTTGGCTGTGTTCTGACCCACACTCACGAAAACCACACAGGATGTCACCACCACATATCCACGCAAAAAGCAAACCCAAACCCACACAGATGATGAGGCACGACCACAAACTGGAAGCCAGTCCACAGCTGCATCATTAGCCACTTTAAACCCCTCCAATCCATACATGAAGCAAACTGATACCCACCATAAAGATGTGGCACGACCACGAAC